GGGGATCAGGTCTATTGTCTGTGGTTAGGAGCAGATTGCAGTTGTGTGTGTGATGATTCAGGAAGGCCATGCCAATAATCCTGCTATTCACCAAATTCAGTTAAGAGAGCAACCATGTGGCTATCTGTGCCAGAAGTGATGCATTTATAGAAGACAGCCAGTGCAAAGGCCCTGAAGTAGGGTCTTACCCGGTATGTGAGGAGGCCAGAATGGTTAGGAGGCCAGTGCCTAGAGAGAAATGAGTAGGAAGAGAGAGAAACAAAGGTTAAGTGGTATCAGGGTGAATGACAAATACTGTAGGACTTTGTAGGTCATTGTAAATACACACTTCGGCTTTGGTCTGAATAAAAAGGGAAACCAGTGGAAGAAAATGGACAGAGGTATGTCCTGACATTTTAACATATATATGTGTATCCGTGACAAATATACAATGTTTTTTGGTTGTCTTAAAAGGCATTGTGCTAGGGGTGCCTGGGTGACTCAGTGTGTAAGACATCTGCCTTCAGCTCAGGTCATGATCCCAGGGACCTCGGATGGAGCCCCAAGTGTCCACTGGGCTCTTTGCTCAGTGGGAAGTGTACTTCTCTCTCTCCCTCTGCCCCTCCCAACTCTTACGCTCTCTCTCAAATAAATAAGTAAAATCTAAAAAAAAAGAAAAGGCATTGTGCCATACACTTCATTCCATCTTTACTTTTGCTACCTAACATAGTTTCCGAGATCTACCCAAATTGCTGTCTGTAAATCTGCTTCATTATCTCTTACTGCAGTGCAGCATTTCATCGTGCACACATGGCCCATTTTACTTATATATTCCTCTAGGAATAGTCGCTGGCACAGCTTCCACTTCCTGCCACCACAAACAATCCTGTGATGAATGTGCTCACATACGCTCCTTATGGACTCAGGAGAGTCTCTTTGGAGTGTGCACATCATGGGAGGGTGTGTGCGTTCTTAATTCCACTGGGATAGTGCTTCAGGATGGTGCCCCAGTGACATTCCCACCAACTGTGTGATGATTTTTATCTCCTCACTGAATTCTCATGCTGATCCAATGAGGGAGGTCAGGTGAGGCCCCTGGTGGATGAGGAGATCGAGGCTTAGAGATAGTGAGCAAATTCCTGAGTTCATGTAGTCACGAGGAAGGGCCAGGACCTCACATGCAGAATTCTGCCATAGTGTTCATTGTTCTTACATCTATAGTACGCAGCACTACCTGTTCCAGAAATAAGACGAGGCATCTTCAGGCAAAGAGACTATTACCATCATCATCATTATCATCATCATCATCATCATCATCATTGTATTTGAGCCTTGCATTCTTTGATTCCTGGTCTAACTCAGTGAGCCTAGGACCCTCACGTGTTTAGGACCAGCATGTTTGAAGGTATCCAGTTAGAGTCCTTTGAATTTTAGGGAAAATTATATGGAATATACTAATTTCATTGTCTCATGAGGGCTAACTAACAGGATTGACTGTTTAGTGGATGATTTTGAAGCTAGACATTTATAAAAACTAAGTATTATCAACTTTTGGGGACTTTGGATCAGATTTCAATATTAAATATTAGGTAAGTTATATTATGTCCATATTGTTTGCTAAGCACTGAACTACAAACTTTGCAGGCATCATTTCATTTACTCCTCACAACTATCCTAGGTGGTATTTACTTGACTATTCAACTATTGTGGAAACTAAAGCCCCAAGAAGAGAACTAATTTGTCCAGAGTCACCAGATGGGAGGTTGAGGTGCTGTTTGAACCTGAACAGTCTACCTGAAGAACCTTATTCCTAACGACTCAACTGTGCTGCCTTTCTGTAAAGAAAACTTCTAGAATCTCTTCCCCTTGAACTTGAGGACAATTTCTTGTCTCTTGTGTGGTTTAGAGCAGTCATGGGAAGTATAGGGCTAGTGGACAAGAATCTCCTAGAGAGAGGATCTGAAGTTTGAAAATGTCCCCAGGTGTCTTCATTATGCCTCCCTCTGTCCCCCAAAGTGAGAACCTCTGCCTTAGGACATCCTGCCTGGATTATAGGGCCTGAACATAAAGTTTCTCTAACTGGGTATGAGTTATTAGTTGCCTATAACCCAAGACATTCTCATATTTTTAAAACAAGTGTCCTCAAAAGGAAGCAATTCTTTATCACTTATGTGTGGCTTATAGCTGCCATGAATGATGTGTAGTCAAGGTTTTCCATTCAAATTTTTCATTTTGATTGGCTTCTTCAAGGAAGGTGATACCATCCATATCTTTACCTGAGCCAGTATTATAAAAGCTGCTTGGCTACAAAGTATGTATTTCAAACTCAAGTAGACATGAATTCTAGATTGTGTGCTCTTTTGGGTTTCTCTTCTCAGTGTGGTCATTTGGTTAACAAATACTTATGAGCATCTACATCAGTCTGATGGAGGAGACAGGCAGCTGGCCTGGAATTTAGATATCTTAGTATCAATGGCACATGGGGGAAGCCAGGTGCTATGAGAGCACATTGGAAGGGCAACATAAGGGTCAGAGGAGATTTCTGGGGAAGTAACTTCTAAGCTGAGAACTGAAAGAGAAGTGAGGTTTGGCTACATGAAGGGGACAAAATGTGATTAAAGGCAAGGGAACAGGGTGAGTGTAGAAATTTGCAGCTGGAGCAGGAACTGGGGAGGGGATGAGGCTAGAGAAATTAGCTCAAGTCAGATTTTGAAGGAAGGAGGGACTATGAAGGAAAGGTATTGGGGAACCATTGAAGAGTTTGAAGCCTGGGGGCTGGTGGGGGACACCTCAATAACATTTATTAATATAGACAGGTTCCATGAGTGAAGAATTGGCTCTCCTTATCTCTCACAAATTATTGTTGGTAAATCATAACATTGGAGCTGGTAAGTGGCAAATAAGGAGTCTGGATAGATGGATTTATAGACAGAAGGTCTGACCCATAACTCAAGGGGTCCCTTTGATCACTATAGAGATGACTTCTCAATTTTGACTTGATCTTTCTATCTTTAAAAACCTCTAACAATATTTCCTAAAATTCTCTCAAACCAAAGCATGAGTAGGGAGGATAGTGTGGGCTGCGTGTCTTTCTTTTCTGCATTCTTCACTACTCCTTTGTGGGGCTTGGCTGTGATTTATTACGCCTGACACTTTCTCCCCCGAGGAGGAAACCATTTGAATGTAGCAGGAGAGTAGGGGGAAGAAGGACCCTCATGCCAGCTCCTTCATTAAGAAAATATATTTGGCATACTGAGAGCATGTTTTGAATGAGTTAAAAATAACTCCATCTGAAAAATTAATAGGGAGTTACAAGTGAGTGTTTTAATACAAGCTCACAGAGCAGGGCAGATTCTCCAGGACCCTGGCAGCTGAGATCACAGGGTGTGTATAGAGCACAATGTGGCTAGTGAGGAGACTGTCTAAAGAAGTGAATTCACCTTCTCTCCTGGAACCCAGAAGGAGGAAACAAAGGAATTGTTTTGGTCATGTTATTCTGAGCTAGATGACTTATTTTTCTCCCTTTGGATCACACTCTCATGGCTGAGGACATGAAAATTATAGTGAATTTTGCCTGGATGATTTGGGTGAGATGTACTGAATTTTGGAATTCATAAAACTACCTTCCTGGCTCCTCTCCCATCTCAGTCCTGGATGCTGGGTTGGCTGCTACCACCATTTCTCCAGTATTTCCTTCCCAGATAGCCTGGTCCTCTCCTTCTTGCAGGTGGTTATGAAGGTCCTGCCCCTTTCTCCCTCTTCCTCTCTGTTCACAGCACCCCTGTGGGCCAAGTGGATAAAGGGAAGGGGAAGACTATACATTCTTGGCCATCAGTACAGCTAAATGATGATGCAGAATGAGGAGAAAGGGGTGGCAAAGTGCCACCTGACCCTTGCCCAGCTGATGTTGGGGTAAGGGTTTGTTTTCTTTCCTTAAAAATTTTATTATTCATTTATTCATTCATTCATTCACTCATTCATGAGAGATAGAGAGAGAGAGAGAGNAGAGAGAGAGAGAGAGGCAGAGGGGGAAACAGACTCCCCACCAAGCAGGGAGCCTGATGCCGGACTCAATCCTAGGACCCCGGGATCACGACTGGAGCCGAAGGCAGATGATTAACGAACTGAGCCACCCAGGGGACCTGGGGTAAGGGTTTTAAGACCAGTGGACCAATATTTGTATTCTAACCTTAGATGATATTTTAAAAATGATTCTGTAATTGTAACAAGGTCCACTCATCTGAATTAATGTGTCATAACTCATGCTCAAGTACCACGCATATCTTGTATATGAATAACTGCATAGTATATTCATGCCCTGTTGTGTCTTATAGCTTAATTAGTACATGAACCTACATGACTTAGATGAACTCAAATAGGATTATGTCCTGTGGTGTGCACAACAGGAGAATGTGGGGGGAAAGTCAGTTGATTTTTATTTCTGGGGGAAAGTCAGTTGATTTTTCTTTTTCTTTTTTTTTTAAAGATTTTGTTTTTTTATTTGACAGAGAGACAGCAAGAGTGGGAAAAACAAGCAGGGAGGGTGCTAGAGGGAGAAGCAGGCTCCTTGCTGAGCAGGGAGCCCAATGTGGGGCTCGATCCCAGGACCCAGAATCATGACCTGAGCTGAAGGCAGACACTTAATGCCTGAGCCACCCAGGTGCTCTGCCAGTTGATTTTTCTTTGATGTCTTTTAGTGTTAGTTTCTGTGATACTTGGGCTGCAACAGGTGACATGTGACTTCTGAGCACTGGTTGAACGCCATTGTTCAGTAAATATTTATTGTTTACTTAGGCGTATGGAGCGACAGCACATATAAGAAAAATACGAAGCAGCAGCCTGAGCAATGGAACTCGGCAGCCTCAACCCAGCTCCACTTAACTCAGCCTCACCGAACCTGATCTGAGACACTCAGCAACCTGCACTTGCTACAGCTCTCTGATATGGAATCCTCTTCAATTCCAGCTAGAAGGCTGTGTCAGACACTTCACATATTTGGTCAAAAGCTGGTACGCAGACGAATGCTAGAGAAAGATGTGACTAGGGACGCCTGGGTGGCTCAGTTGGTTAAGCAGCTGCCTTCGGCTCAGGTCATGATCCCAGCGTCCTGGGATCGAGTCCCACATCGGGCTCCTTGTTCTGTGGGGAACCTGCTCCTCCCTCTGCCTCTGCCTGCCACTCTGTCTGCCTGTGCTCGCTCTCTCTCTCTCTCTCACTGACAAATAAATAAATAAAATCTTTAAAAAAAAAAAAAGAAAGATGTGACTAAGACTGCCACTGACAGAAGCCTGAACACTGTGGATTTAGTGGCCCTGGGTGTGAACCTCACAATGGGTGTAGGTGTGTATATCCTGGTTGGTGAGGTGGCCGGTAATCAAGCCAGACCATCCATTGTGATCTGCTTTATGGTGGCTGGCCTAACTTCATTGTTGGCTGGACTGTGCTATGCAGAGCTTAGTGCCCGGATTCCCCATCCTGGCTCTGCATATCTCTACGCCTATGTCACTGTAGGTGAAATCTGGGCCTTCATCACTGGCTGGAATCTCATCTTCTCCTATGTTGCTGGTACATCCAATATGGTCTTTGCCTGGATTTCAGCTTTTGACAACATGTTTGGGTACCAGATCTCTTGGGCCCTGAATGAAAGCATCTTATTGCATTCTCCCCCGGTCCTTGCAAAGATTCTAGGATTCTTTATTGTGGGCCTTGTGTTTTTGCTCATTGGATTATTGACTTTGAGGTTTAGGGAGTCGATGCTGTTAACCAAAGTGGCCATGTTGATGAGACTTCTGATTCTCAGTTTTGTCATCATCTCTGGCTTCATTAAGGGGGACCTGCACAACTGGAAGCTCACAGAAGTAGACTACAGAAAGGATGAACTCAATGGCGCCTCTAGCTTGGGCCCTCTGGGCTCTGGAGGATTTGTACCTTTTGGCTTTGCAGGGATTCTTCATGGATCAGCTACCTGTTTCTGTGCATTTATAGGTTTTGATAACATTGTTAGCAGAGTTGAAGAAGCCCAGAACCACCAGCGTTCCATCCCCATGGGCATTGTGATGTCACTGCTCATCTGTGTTTTGGTGTATTTTGGTGTCTCTGCAGCCCTTACACTTAGGGTTCCTTACTACCAGATTCGACCTGGGAGCACCTTGCCTGAGGCTTTTCTCCATATTGGCTGGGCCCCTGCCTACTATGCTGTAGCTTTGGTATTCCTCTGTAGTCTTTCTGTCAGCCTCTTGGGTTATATGTTCCCCATTGGTCAGTTGATATATGTCATGGCAGAGGATGGCCTCCTGTTCCCTGTCCTTGCCAGAATCCATACTGGCACCTACATGCTCGTCATGGCCACTGTGATCTTTGGCATTATTGCAGCAATCATGGCATTCTTCTTGAGACTTGCTGATCTTCTGCACCTCATGTCAATTGGGACCCAGATAGCTTACTCCCTGATGGCTTTTTGTGTTCTCATCATCAGGTATCAGCCTGAGAAGAAGAAGAGAGAAAATGAAGTGCAAATGCAGGAGGAGAATGAGGAAAATCAAACACAGGTGCAGAAGGGGACTGCACCTGCAGTAGAGAAGCTGACTCTACAAGGACTATTTTTTCCAGGCAGCCCCACCCCCACTCCACTCTCTGGCCGGGTTGTCTATGTTTGCTCCTCACTGCTAGTTCTGCTGCTGACTCTCCTCTGCCTGGTGCTGGCCCACTGGCCAGGTCTGATTTCTGGAGACCCAGGGCCAATCACACTGGTTGTGCTGCTCCTGGTGCTCATCACTGGGATCACTGGGGTCATCTGGAGACAGCCACAGAGCTCCACTACCCTTCACTTTAAGGTCCCTGCTCTGCCTCTCCTCCCACTCTTGAGCATCTTTATGAATGTTTGCCTTATGATGCAGATGTCAGCTGTCACCTGGGCCCCAGTTGGTGTCTGGATGCTGATTGGGTTTGTTATCTACTTCATGTATGGAATCCAGCACAGCCTGGTTGCACAGCACCACTGAAGTAAGGGCCCAAACTCTAGACCTTGAATTGAGCAGTGCCAATACATATTTGATTTGACATCATCATCCCGAATGCTGTCTGGTCCTCTGCACAATAACAGAGAGTACTCCTGGGCACATGTAAAACTACGCCTCCTATGGCATGTTGGTGGGAGAATGCTAATAGAGCTCTGTATTCATTGTGTATGAAGGATGTGTCTTTAATCTTCCTTCCCCCCTTTTTTTCTGTCTCCTTTCAGTTGTGTCTGTAGCTGCTTGCTGGCTTTAAAAAGAATTATTATTAAAATAAGGTAGAAAAAATGTTTTTGTTTTCTTTGGATAAATATCCAGTTGTGGGAATAGTGGATCATATGGTAATTCTATTTTTAATATTTTGAGGAATCTCGATACCGTTTACACAGTGGTTGCACTGATTTACAGTCCCAAGAAGAGTACACATGGGTTCCTTTTCTCCACATACTCTCTAACACTTTTTGTCCTTTTAGATGTAGATATTCTGACCAGTGTAAAGTGATATTTCATTGTAGTTTTAATTTACATTTCCCTGAACTTTAGTGATGCTGAATATCTTTTCATATGTCTGTTGGCCATCTGTTTGTCTTCTTTGGAAAAATATTTAGGTCTTCTGCCCATTTTAAAATTGGATTTGTTTTTCTTGTGTGTGTGTAAGTTCTTTATGTCTTTTGGATATTAACCCCTTATTGGTATTATTTGCCAATATCTTCTCCCATTCAATAGGTGAACTTTTTATTTTGTTGATGATTTCCTTTGCTGTGAAGAAGTGCTTACATGAATTCAAAAAGACATATGCACCCTTATATTTATTGCAGCATTATTTACAATTGGATATGGAAGGAACCCAAGCGTCCATTAACAGATGAAAGGATAAAGAAGATGTTGTAGTATGTGCGTACACACACACATACACAATGGAATACTACTTAGCTATAAAAGAGAATGAAATGTTACCATTTATAACAATACAGATAGACATAGAGGGTATACATTAAGTGAAATGTCAGACTGAGAAAGGCAAATATATGACTTCACTCTTATATAGAAAATAAAACTAACGAACTAAAAAGAGAGACAAAAAAAAAACATACTCTTCAACACAAGGAACAAACTGGAGGTTGCCAAGGTGGTTGGGGTAAGGGGATGGGTGAAATAGATAAAGGGAATGAAGAATATAAGAGTACACTTATCTTGATGAGCTCTGAGAAATGTGTGGAATTGCTAAATCATCATATTGTACACCTGAGAGTAATATGACAACACTGTATATCAACTACACTTCAACAAAAAGAGAAAGAAAGAAAGAAACCAGAAAAGACAAAAAAAAAAAAGATGAAATAGGACTTCTGCCCTTGAGGAGCTTATATTCTAATACAAAAGGTACGGCGTAGAGTAACAGAAAGTAGAAAGTGTTATCATTAGTAACATACAAATAAAGTGTCTTGTGAATTTAGAGTGGAGGATGACCACTTGTGGCTGGCACAGAGATGAGGATTGGTTGGTGAAATCAGAAGACTTTATAAAGGAATGGTGATGGAATTAGTTGGCTCTCCCCACGAACGGATAGGATTCGCCACACATGGGCACACACAGAGGGAGAGACTGTAGGCAGAAAGAAAGTCACTACAAAAGCACGAGAAAACAAAACAGTGTTCAGAGCACACTGAGCGGGCTGTGTAGCTTGAGCCTTGGCTGTGTGAGGGGACAACAGAGCATGCACACGTGGACTGGAGCCAGAGCCAGAGTTGGGCTCTTTGCTTAGCTTGGAGTCTGCTTAGGTTTCTCCCTCCATTTCCCTCCCCCTCAGTGTCTCCTCCCAGCTCCTGAGTGTAGTTCTGCATGCTCGCTCATTCTCTCTCAAATAAATATATAAATATTTACAAATAATAAATTTTAAATTTATATATATTTATGTTTCATTTATATAAATATATATCATATAAAAATATATAAATATATATTTATAATAAATAAATATAAATAAAATCTAAAAGAAAGAAAGAGAAAGGAGAGATGGGACAGAAGGAAGGAAGGACAGAAGAAAGGACAGATGGAAGGATGGTTGGAAGGAAGGGGAAAGACAGAAAAAAGAAACCTGTTGTGCCCCTGCTGGAGCCAGTCTCACATTCAGGGATTCCCTAGAGTCAGAGCAGGTTGGGCCTTCTATAAATTTCACTACTCCAGGCCTGTCCCTACCTCCCATGGGAAGAGATGGAGCTGCACAGGGGAGGTCATTTCATGCATTGTCTTGTCCCAAGGCTATATTTTCCCTGTTACTTTTGAATGAACAACACTGTTCTTTGTTTCCCTCCTTCATCTTTATAAATGGAGAGCCTTCAGCTGGAGTTTGGTTTTCAAAGTGGGATCCCTGGACTCTTTGGAGCGTCACCAGGTATCAGTATCAATAGGAACTTGTTAGAAGGACAAGTTCTGGGCCCCATCCAGATGTACTGAATTCCAAAAGCTGGGGATAGGACCCAGCAATCTGTGTTCTCGTAAGCACTCCAAGTGAGGTGGCACCCACTAATGTTGGAACACCACTGAACAGAGTACTAATCCTGGCCTCTTTCTACCCACCCCTGTGACTTTGATTAGTGAATTGAAGAGACAGACATGGCATCATTCTTGATGCACTCAGAGTCTTATGTTTTGGTATAGGAGGGCCAGGGTTTTGCTATTGTGTTTATTTAGACCTCTTCAGGGCAGGTCCCTAGGAGGAAAAGGATAGGAGGCTACTTTGTTACTTGTGGAATTTCCCATCTTCCCAATAGGGAGTGGGTGACTCCAGGGAAGCCTGCTAGAGGCAGGGTTACCTATATAATACCTACTCCCTTAGATACTTTTTTTTTATTTTATTTTTATAAACATATATTTTTATCCCCAGGGGTACAGGTCTGTGAATCGCCAGGTTTACACACTTCACAGCATTCACCATAGCACATACCCTCCCCAATGTCCATA